ATGTTTGTTGATGTTTATTTATTTTCATTTTATATATACTTGTTATGATGTAATATCTTTTGTCTATAACCAAAATAAACGATAAAAGCGTCGAAAACGAAATTATATAACAGAAATGAAGAAGATTAAGATGTTGATACATGAAAAAACAAAAAGAAAAGTGAAAATGTTCAATGAATCAGCAAGTAACACACATAACCCCATATAAGGGTTCAACGAATAAACTATACTTTTTAATTTAAACCAAATATTATAATTAATCGTTTTAGTTGTCATTATAGTAAATATATATTAATAAAACTATACAATATGAACTGTAAACTTCATTTTTTTAATTCGTTTTTGTATCTTCGAAACATTTGGCATTTTTAACATTTGTTATACTTTTTGAATTATTTTTATTATAAACAACAAATAATTGTTACACTCGATACAAAATTGCTACTCACTTATTCAGTTTTTCTGTTGTTTTGATAAAAAAATGACGGTTATTTGTTTATACATTATTTTTACTGGCTTTCATGAACTATAAAAATGGTAATTTTCCTGTCAACTTTTCAGAATTTTGGAATTGGGTTTTGTTTTTTTGAAAATTTTTGAAAAAAAATAAAAATTAAATTTTGTTGATTTCTGGTACTGGAAGGGTTAAAATAACATTTTTATCTTGGTTGTAAATATATTTAATCACAGAAAAATCAACCTTTGTACCATACAGGTCGTAATCACATGTATAGTAATTGACATTGTAAAATGTGTACCCAAACGCTTTCATTTGAAGATAAAACGCGTAACTGACAGCAACTGTTTTGAAAAATAATTTTTTTGAATTGTTCAATGTCATTCACATTTGAATTGTCTGATTTGTTTAAACGGTTACAAAATGATATTTTAGTGAGTTTGTTACACTCGCCAAATATTAAACTTTCAAAATTTTTGATTGTTGTAGAAAATACAATTTCACGCAAATTTTTGTATTTTTTGAAAAACGTATAACATATTTTTGTGACACTTGATGGTACTTCTATTCTTGTACTATTAAGAGGAAACTCGACGTTATAATTCAGTTTTGTTGTATTTGGTGTAACATTGTGAATAATTTCTTATATTCAGTTTCTTTTTCGATATCAAAAGTGCGTCCATCTTCAAATACAATCGAATTTAAATTGGTGCATCCAGCAACAACACGTTTTTCAATTTTTGTAACACTTTTTGGGATATAAAGTGACGTCAAACTCGGTGAATCCGAAAAGGCTTCTGTTCCAATTTCACGCACATTTGGTGGCACGACAAACTCTTCAAGTTTTGACCTTGAAAAGCAACACTTTGGAATTTTTGTGATAGTGGATGGTATTTGTTTTTTATTTGCGTTGTTCACATAAAAATTAGATTCATTTAACAAAAAGGCATTCTCAGAGATTAAAAGCTTTTCAATTGGATTATTGAAGTTGTAACATCCGATGTCTGCTTCAACTGTAGTAGTAGGAATGTACACTCTTGGGTGTTCACTCAAATAATTAGAATCATTGTCAAACATGTCCAAATCCCCAAGATGAACGTAATCAGCGTGATTAGAAACATCACATAATGTGTCTCAAAAGTTGTCAAATGTATAATTGTAAGTGCTATTTTTATAAAGTGTTATTAAAAGATTTTGTGTTATTAAAAACAATAATAAATTTTGTGTTTTATAAAACAAAAAAACTATAACATTTTCTTCGAATTAAGGAATAAACAGGGGTTTCATAATTTTTACTATTACCGCCCTAATACTTTAAAAGTCGCCCACCCATTTTAGGCACTGTATTATTAAATTATTTTAAAGCAAAATATTTGCGTTAAAATAATTTAATTTACCAAACTATTAAATTATAATTTATTATATTAACAGTTGTGCTATTTGTTTTTGAATGAAAATATCAACTTTAATATGATTCTAATAGTTAATTACTATAGTTTGTAGTTTGAAAAAACCCATAATAGATAAAAATACCAAACTACTTCCATTTAATATACTTCATAAAGATACAACGGGACACAAAGAGTAGATATGCCGCAACTGTCGGAACTTGTTGAACCCGGCGAGTTGCGGCGTCGTGAATCCGTCTCCGGAAGATACAAGACACAAAGAGGAGATGCCTGAAAAAGAAACATCAAAGATGTCCTAATCGAGTGTTCGTTCCAGTGTTCGGTTTGAGGGGTAAAACCCGTTTTCTTTCCGTCTGTCCGGCCCTTCAAATAAAACAGATTTTGTTAAACTTGTGTACATTAATTCAAGTTGTGGTGACGTGGCAATTTTCAAAATGACACTTTTGTTATCAACATGTTGCAGATTTTTAAATAAAACAAAACAAAAAATGACAAAAAGTCAGTTAAGTTGGAAGACAACAACACTCTTAGGTGTGAATTTGTCATTATCAGTCAACTCATTTCGTTTGGCGGTGTAAGTGTATGGTTTGCAATCACTACCATTTTGACCATTCTTGCACACAACTATATCACGACCACCAAATCCAAAGAGATGTGGAAAGTCTTGAGAATTCAGACAAAATTCGTAATCGGTGTTATTTCCAGTCTTACCAAACTTTTTTGGATTTAAAGTGCCACTTCTCACAAGTGAAAAAAGGTAAGAACTTCCGCCGCTGAGCTGTTTGCTAACAGCATTTATATTTCCAGTAAACACGCCACCAAACTTGTTGTTATTTTTGTCTTCTACCAAAAAGCACAAATTGCTTTTGTTCATTACTTTTGCATCAAACACCGAGGTGTTTTGTGACCAGTTGTCTTTGTCTGAGTCAAACACAACACTTGCAATCTTCATTCCTGTCAACTT